GCTTGAAAATTCTTTAAGAATGTTAAATAGTGGCCTCCACTGTCCTCTGGCTTGTAAGGTTTCTGCAGAGAGAGCTGCTGTTTGTCTGATGGGGTTATGTTTGTGGGTAATCCAACCTTTCTCTGGGTGCCCTTAACATTTTTTCCTTCATTTCAACCTTGGTGACTGATGATTATGTGTCTTTGGGTTCCTCTTCTCGAGAAGTATCTTTGTGGTGTTCTCTGTATTTCCTGAATTTGAATATTGGTCTCTTTTGCTAGGTTGAGACAGTCCTGGATAATATCCTGAAGAGCGTTTTCCAACTTGGTTTCATTTTCCCCATCTCTTTCAGGTACACTAATCAAAAGTAGGTTTGGTCTTTTCACATAGTCCCATATTTCTTGGAGGCTGTGTTCATTCACTTTCATTCTTTCTCTAATCTTGTCTTCATGCTTTATTTCATTAAGTTAATCTCCAATCTTTGATATCCTTTCTTTCACTTAATCAATTTGGCTATTGATCCTTGTGTATGCTTCATGAAGTCCTCGTGCTATGATCTTCAGCTCCATCAGGTCATTTATGTTCTTCTCTAAACTACTTCTTCTAGTTAGCAATTCCTCTAATGTTTTTTCAAGGTTCTTAGCTTCCTTTCTTTGGGTTAGAACATGCTGCTTTAGCTCAGTGGAGTTTGTTATTACCCACCTTCTGAAGCCTACTTCTGTGAATTCGTCAAACTCATTCTCTGTCCAGTTTTGTCCCCTTGCTGGTGAGGAGTTGTGATCCTTCGGAGGAGGAGAGGCATTCTAGTGTTTGGAATTTTCAGGCTTTTTGTGCTGGCTTTTCCTTATCTTGGTGGATTTATCTACCTTTGGTCTTTGAGGTTAATGACCTTCGGATGGGGTCTCTGCGTGGACATGCTTTTTGTTGATGTTGATGCTATTTCTTCTTGTTTGTTAGTTTTCCTTCTAACAGCCAGATTCCTCTGCTGCAGGTCTATTGGAGTTTGCTGGAGGTCCACTCCAGACACTTTTTTCCTGGATATCGCCAGCACAGGCTGCAGATCAGTAAAGATTGCTGACTGTTCCATCCTCTGGAAACTTTGTCCCAGAGGGCCACCTGTCCATGCCAGCCAGAGCTCTCCTGTATGAAGTGTCTGCCAACCCCTGTTGGGAGGTGTCTCCCATTCAGGAGGTATGGAGAGCAGAGACCCACTTGAGGAGGCAGTCTGTCCCTTAGCGCTGTGCTCGAAGATCTGCTGCTCTCTTCAGAGCCAGCAGGCAGGAATGTTTAAGTCAGCCGAAACTGCAACCAGAGCCCCAACTTCCCCAAGATGCTCTGTCCCAGGGAGATGATAGTTTTATCTACAAGTCCTTGACTGGGGCTACGGCCTTTCTTTCAGATATGCCCTGCCTAGAGAGGAGGAATCTAGAGAAGTCTCTGGCAACAGTCACTTTGCTGAGCTGCAGTGGGCTCCACCCAGATCAAATACCCCAGTGGCTTTGTTTATACTGTGAGGGGAGAACTGCCTACTCAAGCCTTAATAATGGTGGATGCCCCTCCCCTAACCAAGCTGGTGTGTCCCATTGACTTCAGACTGCTGTGCTGGAAGCAAGAATACCAAGCCAGTGGATCTTAACTTGCTGGGTTCTGTGGGGGTGAAATCTGCTGAGCTAGACCACTTGGCTCCCTGGCTGCAGCCCCTTTTCCAGAGGAGTGAATGGTTCTGTCCTACTGGTGTTCCAGGCGTCACTGGATTATGAAAAAAAAATCTCCTGCTAGCTCAGTGTCTGCCCAAATGTCTGCCCAGTTTTATGCTTGAAACCCAGGGCCCTGGTGGTGTAGGCACCAGAGGGAATCCCCTGGTCTATGGGTTGTGAAGAGCATGGGAAAAGTGTAGTATCTGGACCAGAGTGCATTGTTTCTCATGGTACAGTCTCTCATGGTTGCCCTTGGCTAGGGGAGGGAGTTCCCTGACCCCTCACACTTTCTGGGTGAGGCAACTCCCCAATCTGCTTCAGCTTGACCTCTGTGGGCTGCATCCACTGTCTAACCAGTCCCAATGAGATGAGCCAGGTACCTCAGTTGGAAATGCATAAATCACCTACCTTCTGCATTGATCTTGCTGGGAGCTGCAGACCAGAGCTGTTTCTATTTGGCCATCTGGCCAGCCATACCAGGTGTCTACCTAGGAAAATTAAGAGTGAGTAAGGGCAAGAGAAAGGGTGGGCAGTAGGGAGATAAAGGAGCTGGCATTGTTGAACATCGTGTATGGGCTATGCACTAGACATAGGCTGTTTTACTGAGTGCTCACAACAGATCCACGAGGTAATTATAATTATCTCCATTTTAGAGAAAAGGAAATGGAGACATTTGCCTAGATTTATCTCCTTTGTCTCACCAAGATGAAACATTTGTATCAGTAATAATGAACAACAATTATTGATCTTCAAACGTTTTGTTATTTTATGTTTCCCTGTTAGCTTGTTCATGCTACTGTAATTTTCTTTCTACATCTATATTCAACTAAATTATACTTGGCTTTAAGACTCAGCTTAAGCACTGCTTTTCCCAACAAGCCTTCCCTAACACTCTCCCCCATTCTCAGTTCACACCTGCCTTGGTTTTAAGTTCCACGAGAGTTCTACCCTGCTACATAATTCCATGGTAACATTCCACTTTAACTGCTAACTTGCTTGCCAGTCTCCCCTAACAGATTAAAACCTCTGTGGAAGTTCAGAGTTAATTTTTACTGACATCTCTTCTCAGAGCTTAAAACTATATCTGGCGCAAAGTAAGGACTCAGTAACATCTGTTGAATGAATGAAGAAACTGCATTGCCCAATGTCTAATTAGCATGCAAGTTGTTGAAGAAGGATTTGAACCTAGTCACTCTTTCCATTATACCATAATGTATAAAAAAGAATTATTTACTATTTTAGCTTTAGGATATTAAAAGATAGTCCATCAATGACTCAGTTGCCCCAAACTGCTTTGGAAATCCTCCAGGAAGTACCACAAACTAGCCTATAAGGGAAAAAAGAACATTTAGAAAGTAATTTTTAGGATAGAAATTATTAAAATGTCTGAAATTCAATGAAAATTAATATTCTGCTATATAGAAATATTAAGAAAAATACAGAGGAGCTGAATTTTTCTCAGAATTAAACTCCTAAAGAAATGGGAAGTGGCTCAAAAATAAAAATACTCAAAAAAAATTCAAAGTCAAGTAAGTTTATCCTTGCTGTGCAGTTTCTCTAGCTTCATAGCAGGTCAAAGTATTTCTATTACTGCATTTTTAACAAGCTCTCAGGAAAGCACTGAGGAGGAAGCCAGTTCATATCAAATTGCCTCTGAGATTTCACTAGAGCAGTTCACAATCCTGGAGTACCAGGAATCTACACATACCCGCATCTGAGTAGGAAGCAACGTGAGCTCACGATGAAGGCTAAGTTGTAATTCCTACGTCTCTTGAGATTTTTCAGATGGTATGGAGTGTGAAGGGTCCTGGAAGTAGGCCAGAGTGAATCTCCATCATGCGGGGACTGAGGCACCCAGCTGCTACCAGCACTACCACCATGGTGAGCTCTGTGTCCCAACGAAGAGTTTGGGAACTGGCCCTAGGCAACAAGAAGCTATTGCAAGGTTACAAACAAAACAGTGACTGGATTGGTATTTGAAAGATTCTCGCTATATTATCGTGATTATTATTTCTTATTATTATCACCTCTATGATAGTGCATTTTCATGCACATTTCTATATGCTTCCAGAGTGGGAGACAGGAAGCGCAGCTGTAGTTGCTGTACATAAAATGAAGCATCAACTTGAGTTGGCGAGTGGAAATGTATTAGAAGGTTGGAGTTACATCTATCACGTGTGTCACAAAGAGAAAATGATTGACAACTGTTGCTTTAGAGTACTATATTCTATTGAACTGACAAAACAAAATGAAAATATTTGTTATATGTCCACTGTATCCAGAGCCATGTGCCAGATACTGATGGATCTATCTATATAGAAATATTAAGAAAAATCTTATTAGCTTCTCAGGCAAGAATTCTGGGAGAAACATTTTAGATGTGTCACTACTGTCTAAGTCAAGTGGGTCCTCAGCTTTTCTGCTTCAACTTTTTAAAACAAAGTTGACAAACTCATAAATAATTAAAATATAAAGACTCATCTTCTATTTTTTGTAGAATGTAGATTTCCTAGTGACTGAAATATTAATATCTACTCTCTATGGTATTGGCTTTTAAGTATCAAAGTATTTCAATAATGCAATTATTAATCAGAAGGTTGTTTGGAAAGTACATATCCAGAAAAAATAGAATTGGCTAATTTTAAAGAATACTGTAGGAAACTCTGGAACATGCCTGCTCCCAAATTGCCTATAGAACAAATACATTCCTGCCTTTAATACACAGGACCTCTTTTCCATGAATATAGGCATCAAGTGCTTACATTCAAACATCCTTTGTTAAATGCCATCACAAATACCATCACATCATGAAAGGTAAGTTGTGGTACAAATTTTTTTAATTACAGTTTTCATTTATATTGTCATTTTGCCTTCTTGAGGATCTACTTTGACTTCACTGGACTTTGGTATTACTCAACTCTATAACAGCAACACATTTAGAAAGTAATTTTTAGGATGGACAGTGGCCACAGATGCTTTAATTCACTTAATAAGCATTTATGAAGCTATGTGCAGGTAGGCTATTGTTCTAGGTACAAGGGGTTCAAGCAAAGATATTTGGGAGACACACAAGTTACAGATAACTACCATCAGTGTGGTCAGTGCTATGACACAAAGACATGCCTCAGGAGTGAGCCTAATCAGACATGAAGAGTTATGAAGCCTTCCTCATCTTGAAGAAACAGACTTAAGTAACCAGTTGAAAAATCATGCTAAGCTTATCCCCAGTGGGCTAATTTTTTAAAAAGTTTCCGACTTAGAGAGTGGGACGTCTGGCTTCTGAGCGGTAACCTTTGTTGTGCTAGCGACAAAAAAGAATTAAATATGGGTGATGTTGAGAAAGGCAAGAGGATTTTTATTCAGAAGTGTTCCCAATGTCACACCATGGAAAAGGGAGGCAAGCACAAGACTGGGCCTAATCTCCATGGTATCTTTGGGCAGAAGACAGATCAGGCCTCTGGATTCACTACAGATGCCAATAAGAACAAAGGCATCATCTGGGTAGAGGATACACTGAGGGAGTATTTGGAGAATCCCAAGAAGTATAGCCCTGGAACAAAAATGATCTTTGTCAGCATTAAGAAGGGAGAAAGGGAAGACTTACTAGCTTATCTCAAAAAAGGCACTAATGAGTAATAATTGGCCACTGCCTTATTTGTTACAAATGTCTCATGACTTTTTTATGTGTACCATACTTTACTAGATCTCATACACCAAATTTACATCATGAACAACTGACGGAATATTTGGTTAGGCAGTCCTGATTTAAAACTAAGACTGGCTTGTGGTTAAATGAGTATGTTCAGTTTTTTGATTTTAATAACAATTCCAATTTAGTAAATTCTATCACTGTTTACCCCTTCTAAAGATATGATTAGACTTCATTAGTAATGTTAAACTTTTTGCAAAGATGGTGAGTGCCATCTTAAAACTTACTGGAGATTGGTTTTACATTTAGATTTATATAACTGGTTATGTGAATATATTTAAATATGGGGGAAATTCCTTCACTGTCTCAGAACCAAGCAAGAGTCACCTGTGTTTTGTATTCATTTGCCTCTTAAAGGCAAGGGTTAAAGATAAGTGGGTAGCAATGGCTATTTTATATTTTTGGCCTTAACTATGCCAATCTAATTAGAATTCCCTGTATTTAAAATGGTTCCTTTTACTTATTGAAAGGCATTTTGTGTGGTTTATGTGTAACATCAAAAATTATTTAACACTTCACACATTTGATAGATGATCTATAACGTCACATGCTTTTAAAATAGAAGCCAGTTAAAGTTCACTCTTGGATTCTTTACAATCTAAGTCAAACTAAGGTATAATTTAGGATTGTCTTTATAGTATCCAATTAAACGTCACTCTTGAATTCTTTACAATCTAAGTCAAAAACTAAGTTATAATTTATGATTGTCTTTAAACAGCCATTCAGAAACAAAACTGTACAACTGCTGTGTATTTGTGATTGGGAATGGTGCTTTTGCTGACTTAAAAGGATTAAAGTAGAGGAGATATACAGAAATTGAAAAATGATGTGTGATCATAAGACTTAAGATAATTAAAAAGAAAACCACAGATCAAGAAAAAAAAAAAAAAAGGTTCCACTCAACAGACAACCTTTTTCTGACTTTGACCGCTGATGGGTGCCTCCCATGGGGGATTCAGTAAAGCTCTTATTCATACAAGCCTATAATCTAATTAATGCAATAAATATATATCTTAAATCATGCTTTGACAGCAAAACACTTGAGATCAAGACCTAGATCTGTTACTTAACAGTTGTGTGATTTTGGACAAGTTAGCATCTCAAAGCCTCAAATGTATCATCTGTATAGTGGATAATGATAGTATATACTTCATATAAAATGCTACAAAAATGAAATGAAATAATGCAAGTAATTCACTTAGCCCAAGTGCTCAAAAACGTTAGCTATGACAAAAACATCATTTACATGATTAGTCTTCCAATAAATGCAAGCATATTCAAAAGAGCAAGCATTTCAAAATTATTTTTTTAAAAAAAGAGCAGAGATGCTGATATTTAAGCTAAAACTTCAAGACAGCATCAAAATGTTTATACATGATGGAACAAACAGCAGTGAGAAAAATCCAAGAAAATGATAATTTATTCAGATGGTAATGAGAAGACAATGCTGACTTGGGCAGAGTTTCTACAGGAAGTGAGAGAAGCAGGGCCTGAGTGGTAGGTAAGCTGCTGCCAGATGCCAAGAGGCCTATGTGCCAGGCAAACGAGCTTGGGCTTCGTCCTGTATGTGATGGGGAGTCACTGAAAGTTTTCGTTCAGGAATGTACAATGATCAAATCAGCACTTTATAAGAAAAACCAGAAAGGGGGAGACCAGTTAGAATGTGACTGCTGGAGTCCTGCTGCCCAGCAATGAGGATACACAGTGAAATCACGACAGAGTAGAAAAAAAAAAATGGAGACAGGAAACACTCTGAAGGACAAATAAACAGGACGTATTTACTAAATCCCAGTATTGGTCCCGATCCTAATCTAAAAAATGTTGCCAAGTCATATTTTCCTGATGAGTAATTAAGTCTGAATTCAAGTTATGAAATTCCAGAGATTCATTCCCCTTCTAGATATTTTAATGGCTAAGGAGGGGACTTTGCTCACCATGTAAGTAGTAAATCAGTTTTAGTGTTCAGAATAATGGGGATCAGTATGTATGTCGATGTTCATAGCAGCATTATTCACAATCACCAAAAAGTGGAGACAACCAAATGCCTATCAATGGATGAATGGTTCAACAAAACATATATATGTGTGTGTGTGTGTGTGTGTATGTGTGTGTATATGTACATAAACACATATATAGAATAGATTATTATTCAGTCTTAAAAGGGAATGGAATTCTGACACCTCATACAACTTAGATGGACCTTGAAAACATTATGCTAACTGAAATAAGCCAGCCACAAAGGGGTAAATATTGCATGATTCCACCCAGATGAAGTACCTAGAATAGTCAAATACTAGAGACAGAAAGTAGAATAGTGGTTAGCAGGCAATGGGGATATGAAAGAATAGGAAGTGGTAAATTTTATGTCATGTATGTTTTATCACAATAAAAAGAATGTGAATCTGATACCCTGATGCTGACTCAAAACAAGAGAAAGCTAAGGCTGTCAACCATTTAGCCTAGTGGCTCAGCCGAGTAAAACTCCCTGGGTCAGACACCATTAGTAGTTTTGTCCAATTGGAGAAGCAATAAAAATGCCAATCATCCACCTACATCAAAATGATAATGATGGCATGCTGGCTCATGGCTCTCTGCTTTTCCTCTGCTCTGGTCTGACACTAAAGGAAAAAGAGAAAGGAAGTCACTCTATCAAAGTAATCCCTCACCTTGGTACTTGGTACTTAACACTAGTTGACAAACTCCTTGGGAAAGAAAAAGTAACTTGTGTACCTCTGCCTCTGTATCCAGAGGTGCTCCACAGATACATTCACTGAGATTTCAGGGACTAGAACTCAATATGGTTCTATCAATTAAAATGGCCCCAAGTGATGGCTGTGCTAGTTGGAATGTGAATACAGAAGTGTAAGACGTGGTCCCTGACTTTTAAGATCATATAATCTACTTAAGGGGACGGGAACTTACACTGATATAATAATGAACAGAATATAATTAGGTGCTAAATTGTGTAGTACAGATTCTAAGTACTCTAGGAGGTCATAAAAATGTCTAACATCATGTAGAAATGAATAATGGGTTGGGAAATCTTCACTCACCAAGTACTTGTAGAAGCAAGCAGAGAAACCTATAAAATGGACTAAAGGCTTTTAAAAGTATCCATTATATTTTAATTTTATGCATAACACACCTTGTCTACCAAACGGTCCCTTTCCTAAAGTTTTTGCTGGATTTTCTTTTTTCCTCAGCCTTGCTTACAAGTAATTAGAAAATGCCTCAAAGGAAAATAAGTAAGTGTGCCAGCAACCATTCAAAAGAACATGTAAATTACTGTAAAACAGAGGTACTCAAAGAAAATTAGTAACTTTAATCTTCATAAAAATAAACCTCTTATTCAAAGCTTGATTTGTTCAGACAAAGCCAAGAAAAAACAGGTAAACTGACACCCCTCCTTCCCAAATGATGGCTAATGAGATCCAGGGAAAATTTTATTCATTTAGCATCAGAATTCAGACCATTTGCTAGAAAATGTGAATTTCACAGCACTCTGCATGGCATAGATCAAAAGAGACATGAGTTTTGTTTCTACAAAGACTCCAGCTGTGAGTATGTGTACCTTTTAGTTCTGGCCAACCTTACACATTAAAAGCTGTGTGGCTACGTAGCTTAAGCAGTGAACTGAAGAAGTAAGATATTAAATTCTATTTCCTAGACTGCTACCCACTACAATCTCTCTCATCACTTCCTTCATCCTTTCACCCCAAGGAACTATCAAACATTCAGCTCTATTAAATTTCAATAAGTAGAGAGCAACTTGGTATTTCTCAGTCAACTGCTAGCTTCACATAATACTGACAAGGCATGAGGGTGTTTTAGGTAATCTATTGTGTCATAACAAACTACTCCAATACTAACTGGCTTAAAAAAACAGTTTTGTTTCACTCATCATTTTGTGGATCAGTTTAGACAGGGTCAACTTGGTGATTCACCACTGATCTACTTGGTGCCAGCTGTTAGCCTGGGCCAGAGGACCAATGTTCAAGATGGCTTCCTTCCTTACTCTAATGTCTTGCACCTCCCATGGTGTTTCTATGTCTGTCTATCTCAATCTCTCTCTAGCTCAATCTCAATCTCTCTTTCCCTTCCCCAACCCCTACCCCCCAGCAGGTCCAGAACTAGTGTGAGTTAAGAGAAGTGCCTTGGGTACAAAACTTAAGGAACACTTCTCAATGTCATGCAGTGCACCTCAGAGCACCTCCTTAAATTTTGTACAAGGCGCTTCTCTTGCCTCACCCTAGCCCTGGCCCTACCTTCAGGGCCTCTCTACAGAGCTACATGGCTCAGGCTTTTCACAGCTTGGTGGTCTCAGGGTAGGAAAGAGGCAGGAAAGGTCTACGCATATAATAATTGGCAGGGTGTCACTTTCACCCTATTCTATTGGCCAAAAAGGTCAGTGGGTCTGCCCAGATTCATAGGTAGAGAAACAGATACCACCTATTAATGACATGGTGAGAAGGTCTCATTACAAAGAGCAAGTGGTATGAGAGAAATTGCTGCAACCATCTTTGAAAAAACACATTCTTCCACATCTTCCCTTGTAAACTTTCCTTCGTTTCATCCATGGAACACTGCTGTGATATCCTCATTAACATTCTCACCTCTAAACTTCATTTTCAGGCCAGCATGCTATAGCATACCTCTATCAGACCTTCCTATAATAACTATCTTATTAGCACCCTTACTTAAAAGTTTCTAGTGGCCCCCTGACTTACAAATAAAACCCACACGCTTCCACCTTCATTTAAAGTGTTCATGGCTTGGTCCACCTCACCTGTTATGGATTGAATTGTTTCCCCTAAAAGATATGTTCAAGTCCTGACTCCTGTCTATGGTTTGAAAGTGTCTCCTCCAAAATTCAAGTGCTGCCAATGTGACAGTATTAAGAGGTATGGCCTCTAAAAGGTGATTAGGC